ATACTTTGAAGACCTCTTCAATCCCACCGACACGTCTTCCACTGAGGAAGCGGAGCCTGGGGTCTATAGGTCGGGCTATCCGATCTCTGGTGCTGAGGTCACCGAGGTGGTTAAAAAGCTCCTCGGTGGCAGGGCCCCAGGGGTGGATGAAATTCGCTTGGAGTTCCTTAAGGCTCTGGATGTTGTGGGGTTGTGTTGGCTTACACGACTCTGCAATATTGCGTGGCCATCGGGGTAGTAACCCTGGATTGGCAGACTAGGGTGGTGGTCCCCCTATTCAAATAGGGGGACCGTAGAGTGTGTTCCAACTACAGGGGGATCACACTCTTAAGCCTCCCTGGTAAGGTCTATTCAAGAGTTCTAGAGAGGAGGGTCCGTCGGATAGTCGAACCTTTGGTTTTTTATTAATTTTTTTCTTTCTGTACTGCGGTGAAGTCAGACGTGTCTCCCGGCGCTTCGTACCCCCCCCCCCCCCCCCTCCCCCCTGTCATCCTGTCAACACTTATAAAGCCTTTTTTTTTGCATACCTTCCTAATTCGAAGGACTTGATCAGCTGGTCTCTCAACAAAATTGATCAACTTCTCTCGACAGGAGTCAGGGTAAGGAGGACCCTCTTACCTCGACGGAAACAAATTAGATTCATGACGACAATTGCTTTTTATGCTGTTTGGCTTGGTGAAATCTGGATTGTCTACAAATTCATGTGGATGTGTCGAAGCTTGGCAGCACTCAGACTAGGGCTGTATACTGAAACGAGGTTCTTTTGTAGCACCGACTGGATTGCGTCGGTGTATGGATTGAAACATCACTCCTTTTTCGGTGTCAAGTTTCAGTATTGGCTGTAACGTGTGTATTATGAAATTCTTTATCAAAAGGGCTCGTGAACGATCGGCACAGATATTCAGACAAGGAAAAAGTAAAACACCAGAGACTGTTACTGCTAGGAATAATAAGTGTCATTTATTAACCTGCCACAGAAAACAGCCAAGCAAAAAACATGTACACTCGTACACTCTTAACACACAAAATGATATGAAAGAACTTCTCACCGTGACACTGGCCGGGAAGTCGTTTTCGACCCAGGTAAAGAAGAATCACATCATCAACTGCATGGCACCGCGCGCGCTGGTCCACACAAGACTTCCAAATTTAAGTTGCCTGTCACACCTCCTTTATACCTTTCTTCTGACCGGATCGCGTGAGAGCAGTGAAAAACTAGTTTGATGGTTACCAGAACAACGGATGAGGAGCTGGTGATTTATTACCAATAAGGAGCATGGTGACCTCAAGGCGGGCCAAGACCCTGAAGCCAGAAATACTCCTTAAACTTTTACAAAGCATTCCTAAAGAGGGAACACACACCCCTCCATCCCTCTGCAAACCATCAAAGAATGTCCCAAATATTAACAAAGGCAACATAAATCATTCCCCCCTTTGTCTTTGTGACATGTTAAACAAAGTACAATCCCTAATATGTGAATAACACGTTGTATAAGTGTGTTTTCAAACTACATGTAAATGAGTGTAAAATAAGTATAAATTGACATAAAAGCATCAAAATAATCATTCCTATATCATTCCACCCTTGCCTTTTATGGCAATTTAGACATTTAATTCTGAAAAGTAACACACACAAAATGTATATGTTTGAATAGGCATAAAGGCAACTTAATATATTGATATAAAACATATTTTTATATCAACGTGTCACGTGGTTTCAGCACGCCAGCAGGTAAAACACAGACATATAACAAACAGACTACATGTTTACACCCAGAGCTGTATAGAGCTGCCCTACAGCTTGTATGTCTATGGTGCTGGTTACGCCCACAGATGGGGTTCACGTGTGCACCGCGTGTGTTGTTCAACGGCTTCGACAACACACGCAACTTTCTGCTTACAAGCAGAAAGTTGTTCCGTGTTTTTCTGCAAGAAGAGAGAAGGACAGAAGTCTCCCCCCTTCTCTCAGTATTAAAGTCAGCCTCTGAGTGTTGAACGGCCTGAATCAACATTCCACGACCAGACTCCTCTTATCAAAGAACTCCGAGAATGGAGCTGTGTCTGGGATTTCAGCTGGTAAGTTTACGTTTGTTAACGTTACTGCAGCTTAACACGTACATTACGGTGAATTAAACTAGAATCCATGTAAGGCTAACTTTTAAGATATTAGTGTGTAAATTTATTTTATCTACGTAGCTAGCTAAACTCAGAAGCTAACTAAAGATTGACAGTAACAGATAAAGCTTAGTTTCTAAAATTGTGCTCTTCCATTGGATCAGCTGGTTAAACATTTCAGCTATTGTTCACTGTTTGCTAATGTTCTCCTCACAGGAGCCTCTGATCTTGATGTGAGGAGGACAGAGACAGACAAAAGAAAAGCGAGGTGGGGGCCACAGGACAGTCACTAACTTTGTTGTTAAAAGTTTGCTGCCTTTTTCTACAGTGGAGACTGCATGGTGGAGGTAAGTAAACTGTAAAGGATGTTGTTGACCAGTTAACCCTTTATCTATCAGCCTAGATAATGGTTTTTGAGCAATAATAACACAACCATGTTATTGTTGATTTTTTTGTGTTCTCCTGTCAATTAGGGAGATGATAGGAGCCCTAAACCCCAGAGAACCACAGAGAAGATTCAGGAAGAGACACAGATGTACACAAGTCTGCCATCAACCCTAACCTCAGTGAATCCAGTGACCTGCTGGTGGAATGTGAGGGACACTATGCCAATGCTATCAAATTGGCAACCAGGTATCTGTGTGTGCAACAAGCCTCATCCACACCCTCAGAGTGAACATTTTCTACTGCTGGAGACACCATCCGCCAGGAGCGGGCTTGTTTGTGTCCAGAGAAAGCAGACATGTTGATTTTTCTGCTAAGTGAAAAGGTCCTCAGTGTGTAGCAGTTAGCATTAGACACTGACGTGTCACTGGTTTGAAACTGGTCTTTTGACCTGGACATTATTTATTTATTTTTATGTAAGAAAACTGCTTGGAATAGAAATACCAAAGTTAAAAAATAAAACTCACAATTTGTACTGTAACGTGTAACGTAATTTTATTCTTGTTAGAATTAATAGTAATTACAAAATTGGTACAGAAAAAAGTACCATCCAGGAACCAACACCGAAATGAATGTACCGACACCGGTACCAATACCGATTTTTTTAGAAAGGTACCCAGCCCTAACTCAGACTCTATTATGTGCAGCTGCATCAGAGAGCTGGATGGATCAGGACTGTGGACTCTCTAGCAGCACACGTGAAGGTGGGAATAATCTTGGAGAAGCTGTGAGCTCAACTTTAATTAATCAAATCGGCTGTTTAAAATTTCCATCACAGGATAATACCAATGAGACTTTAAAAGGCAGAAACAGCAATTCTTGAGTTCTGCCTGACCCAAACTGTGGTCTTGATGGAGGACTTATCTCAATTCCTCCTGGCATGTTTTGAAAAAACAAAGATGCTCTGTCTGTCTCCTCACCTCTCCCTTCCCCAAGGCCGTGGACATGTGATGGAACCTCAACCAAGCTGATGATAAATAACACCTCTTATTTGGACAATAGCTGAGGGGGGGGGGGGGGGGGGGGCTCTGGACCATTCTATGACTTTCCCTTAAAATTAAATGTCTTCACTGGCCTATATGTACATGTATCACGTCTATTTATGCTGCTTTGCTGTGGTAGGTTTTTTTGATGTTTCAAATCATACCCTGTCTAGGGCAAAAAATTGAAGGAAAAATTGTAGACCTGCACCAGGCTGGGAAGAGTTAATTTACAATAGGCAAGCAGGTTGGTGTGAATAAATCAACTGTAGTAGCAATTGTAAGGAAATGGAAGACATACAAGACCATTGATAATCTCCCTCTATCTGGGGCCACACGCAAGATCTTATCCTGTGGGGTCAAAATGATCATGAGGACAGTGTGCAAAAATCCTAGAACAGCACGGAGGGACCTGATGAATGACCTGCAGAGAGCTGGGACCAAAGTAATAAAGACTACACACTATGCAGAGAGGGACTCAAATCCTGCAGTGCCAGGCTTGTCCCCCTGCTTAAGCCAGTACATGTCCAGGCCCATCTGAAGTTTGCCAGAGAGCAAATGGATGATCCAGAAGCGGATTGTGAGAATATCATGTGGTCAAATGAAAGCAAAATAGAACTTTTTGGTAAAAACTCAACTTGTCGTGTTTGGAGGAAGAAGAATGCTGAGTTTCATACCTACTGTGAAACGTGGGGGTGGAAACATCATGCTTTGGGGCTGTTTTTGTGCAAAGGGGGCATGACAACTGATCCGTGTTAAGGGAAGAATGAACGGGGCCATGCATCGGGCGATTTTAAGCCAAAACCTCCTTCCATCAGTGAGAGCATTAAAGATAGAATGTGGCTGGGTCTTCTAGCATGACAATGATACCAAACACACCACTCGGGCAATGAAGGAATGGCTCTGTAAAAAGCATTTCAAGGTCCTGGAGTGGCCTAGCCAGTCTCCAGACCTCAAACCCATGGAAGGAGGGAAATTAAGTCTGTGTTGCCCAGCAACAGACCCAAAACATCACTCCTCTAGAGGAGATCTGCATGGAGGAATGGACCAAAATAGCAACTACAGTGTGTGCAAACCTGGTGAAGACTTACAAGAAACGTTTGACCTCGGTCATTGCCAACAAAGGTTATGTTACAAAGTATTTAGTTGAACTTTTATTATTGACCAAATACTTATTTTCCACCATAATTTACAAATAAATTCTTATAAAATCCTACAATGTGATTTCCTGGATTTTTTTATCCTAATTTTGTCTCTCATAGTTGAAGTATACCTATGATGAAAATTACAGACCTCTCTCATCTTTCAAAATAGGAGAACTTGCACAATCAGTGGCTGACCAAATACTTTTTTGCCCCAATGTATATATGTGTGTGTGTGTGTGTGTGTATACATTTCTTTTGAAGATGTTTCTAATTTATGTGCTCTGAAATAACCCATTTTTATTCTTCCTTTTCATAGTGCCCAGTTGACTATGTGTCTGAGAGCCATCATCAAGCATGATTTCCCTGGGCGCTGGACAGCCATCGTAGACAAGCTTGGCTTGTATTTACAGTCTCAACACAGTGGGAGCTGGTATGGAAGCCTGCTTGCTCTCTATCAGCTGGTTAAAACATACGAGTGAGTAATTCCACTTGTGCTGCTGTTCTCCATCTCTGATCATGCATTTTAAGTACTTAACTTCATGTGGTTTTCGAGGACACCTAATGAAGAGATGGTTACGTATTTCAGTGGTGTTCAACAGTAGGCCTTGACGCATGTTTCTGATGTTTCTTTGCCGTAATACACCTGGTTTAAATGTATGGGTTATAAACAATGCATTTGCATAACTTGATAACATTTTACCATACCATACCATACCAATTTATTTATAAAGCACTTTAAACAGTGACAAAGCACACCAAAGTGCTGTACAGGGACAGACAGAACAAGCACACAGCAACAGATTACATAACAGGACACCAAAAAGTAGAAACCAACAAAAACAATAATGGATAACAACAACAACCACAACATGACCAACACAGTGTGATGCACACAGACTCAGCACAGATCACACAGTGCTGAAAGCCAGGGAATAAAAGTGTGTTTTTAAGCGAGATTTAAAAACTGTGAGGGAGGGGGCCT